AGGGAAAGAAGCCCCATCCTGCCTCACTCTGCTCCTCCTGCCTGCCCTGCTCCATCCTCATCGATGCCATGAAGGATTTGACATTCATTTCCTCCTAATAGCAGAATTCTTGATCCATCAGCAACAAAAGTGAATCAATCAGTTCCCAAAAGCCAGGCTGGTGAGAAGAAAGCCAGCCCTGCCCCTGGCATGTGGAACTAATCCATAACTTAAGCAGAAAAATATTGATAATGTTGCTGCTGCAGACATATTTATGTCCTTTATTATATGCACCACGAGGAGCGATTTTCTCCCCCCCTGCCTGGCTCTGAGTGTTATTGTAAATCGTGCACAACTGCTTTGCTTTCTCAGGGAGGGAAACCACGGCTCTATTTTTACCATCTCACGATTTTGCCATTGCTCCATCCCGAGGAAGGATTGAATTTCCTGGACAGCGTGGGCTCTGTTGATGGGAGATTCCTTTGGGCTGTCCTTATAAGGAACCCGAGGTTCGTCCCCGCAGCACTGTGACCCCCCCCTCTGTGCACGGTGATGGATGGCACAGAAAGGATGGGGAAAAGGAAGGAAAGGAAAGCTTGGGGCTGGAGATTAACAGCTGAAAAAGAGTGGGGGAACGGTTGGAGAGAGGCATTAGGAGAAATTACAGGCATGGAAATCAAGGAGGGTAATCAAAACCAGGTTGGGACACTTTGATAGTAATGGAAATCAGGTTTGCGTGAGTTTGGGGAATGCTGCATCCCTCCTTTGCTTTCCCTTATGGGCAGGATGTGACCCCTCCTGGCTCAGAGCCCTGCATTTGGGGTGCTCAGAGCATCTGCCCCATGACAGACACCCAAATACAGCCCCATCACCCTGAGCCCATGGTTTCACACCATCATCGAGGACACCCAGGAGCTAAAATCTCCACTCAGGAGCCCAAATCAAAGCACAGCAGCAGGGCAGCCCCATGCCACGCAGCCTCTCACCATGTACCCCCCATCTTCCCCATGCCCTCCGCTCTCCTTACTGCTGTGCACCTCCCCCTGCACTGATCTCTGTGTGATTCCCATCTCTACCCCAACACCAATGGGTACAGCAGTGCAAAGAGATCACTCTGAGATTGTGGGATCCTTTACCCCCAGCCCAATTGGGAATGGCTGAATAGGTGAAATCAACCCCAAAATCACCATCTGAGTCCCATTCCATAGGAATAACTGCCTGCCCAGCGCAGGCTCTGGGTTTTACAGCACCCCACACATTCTGCAGCCTCTGTGTAACCCCCAAGTAAGGAAAAAGGGGAAGGTTTTACAGGCAGCCCCTCCCTGGCTTTCTAAATCAAGAGAGCAGTTTTCCCCTGAATGGTAAAATGCTGCTGCCCAAGCCTGCAGCAGCCCAGTGCTTCTGCACCTCACCTGGGGCAGTGATCAGCAGTCCCTAAACCACAGCTGGGGGTGGATCTGTTCACCCCATCGCTCCCCACCACCCCCTCAGTGCAGAGCAGATGGGTTTGGAGCTGCAGCAGCACCTGGCAGAGGATGGGAGTGAGAACCCTGCTGTGCTCGAGCCCTAAAAGCTTCTACATGCCCAAATCCCATTGTCTGAATGGAGAATCAGAGGGAACCCTCAACTTCTACTCATCCCTTCTCCCTTTCTGCTCTCCAGAGGTGGTCAGCACAGCCCCCAGCCCCATTCCCAGCCCTGGAAGCTCATCCCATAACACTGCAGCACCACATCCCACCTGTGCTTTTCTCTACAGCCCTTTATTCACTCTCTCAGCCCCAGGACAACAAGGTCATATTTTCCCAGTGTGTATTATTTATTCATCTTTATTTATAATGTGGCATTACCGTGTTGCTGTCTTCGTTGGGAAACTAATTCCCAACGCTTTTTAGTGAAACCGATAAAAAGTTTGAAGGCAGGAATTTGCTCTGAACTTACAAGTTTATGCTATTTCCAGGAGTCCTTGTAGGGTGGTGGGAGGGTGGGAAAACATAGCTTGGAGACCTTTGGTCTTTGCAAAGCGCATGGGAGCAGACCTGGATGAGCCTGAAGGAAGATAAGGACAGAGCGAGACGGGCGCTGTGTCCTTGGGAGGGACTGGATGCAATGTTTTGCCGAGCTGTAATTGGGCTTTTGCTAATTAAACCTCCCTTCTCCAGTGGGGGGAGGCCCATGGGGCACAGCTGTCTGTCCCAGGAACGATGCTTCCCTTCAGGAGCCCTCCCTGCTTGCTCCTCACCTCTGCTCTCAGCCCCATTCCTTGATGCTCCCATTCACAAACAAGGATGAGTCCACCCAGCCCTGGGAACCCCAAGGTTCTCCCCTAGCAGTGAATCCTTTGCATATGTCCTCCCAGCCCAATGGGGTCAGGAGCCAGCAGCAAAGCCAGAAGCCTTTTCTTCTTACAGCCAGATGGGCTGCTCTCCGTTCCCCAACCTGTTCTCACCAACCAGCATTGCTGGAGGCCAGCATGGTGTCACTGCAGCATCATCTCACTGTGGCTCAGGAGGACCTGGAGCATCACTGAGCCACAAATTCAGAGCCTTCTCAATAGCCAGGAGCTGCCCAAGGGCATGGCTGGCTGTGCTGTAGCACATGGAGCTGGTTGAGGGTGGGGAGACCTCTTGGTTGGGGTTGGGAGTTGTAGTGCAGCAGCCAGTGCTGTGCTGTGCTGTGCTAGCAGCCCTGAGGATGATCCCTGAGCAAATGCAGAGCCTTTGTTTTAATTCTGAGAGGTGACAGCAGACTTTTAAGAGGCCTTCTGTCATTGCACAGAGCCAGAAAAGGGCCACGACCATTCTGGGAGAGAAAAAAAAAAGCATGACGGTGGGTTAACGTAAAGCTCTAGGAGTGCTTTCACCAAAGGAGCCACACGGGTTGGGACAGAGCAGCAGTTTCCACTTACTTGTGCTGGCTGCCTGCCCAGCCCCGTGCAGATGCAGCCCATCTGAGCGGCCGTTTCTGTCTGTCCGTCCATCTCTGCTTTGCGTCACTGTGGTGAGGTTTTTCTTGGGGTGACATTCGTGGTGGTGTCTGAGCATCATAAAACACCCGAGCTCTGCACTGGGGCTTGGGGGAGTTCCTCTTGTTGTCCCCCCCTCCAGGGGAGTGCTGCAGCCTGGCAGTGCATCCCATGGGGAAAGGCTACAGCCTGGGGTGGAGGAACGGATGAGACGGACCCATGGCAGCAGCTCAGCTTCCCCCCAGCTCACTGCATCAGAGCAGCAAAGGCAATTGGAATCATAAGACCCAGGCTGCTCCCCCCGCTGTGCCTGGCTCTGCCAGATGTCCACAAGCTGCTTTGCCCCATTTCCAATCATCCAAGCATTGAGAAGAGCAATGCTTGGCTCAGTGGTGGGTGGGTGGCAGCCATCCCATCCCCATGTTCCATCCCCACCATCCAGGCTCTGTGCACGCTGCCCTGTCCCCACCTGGCCCTGAACCCATCACCATGTGGCTCACACATGTTCCCACATCACTGAATCGGACAACAAGCAGCAGCTTTGGCTTTAAGTTAATCTTACTTAAAGAGGGACTTTCCTCAAAGCTCCGATCCCAGCTGCCCACAGCACAGTGTGAGCAGGTGTATGGGAACTGCTGAATCAGAGCCCCAACCTCTGACTGATCACCTGAGGTGAGCAATGAGTCAGCCCTGGGAGCACAGGTGAAGGCAATTCCACCTCTCCTAGACCCTATTTAAGATCCTTCTTAAATAGGATTCTTCCCCACTGGGGAAAGGATCTCTTTCTGGAGGTCCTTTCTTTTCGGGTTTTCTGGTGAGCCCAGGACAAGGTAAGCCCTCTATCTATTCTTTTTTGGTGTAATAACCTGCTTAGCCAAACTCTCTTGTATGTTTCTTAATTATAACACCTGTATATCCATTGATTATACAGTGGGCCAGGAGCTGCCAACCACACAAGTATCACAAATCAGATACTCATAGAGTCATGAAGGTTAGGAGCTCACTGCTCAAGAGGGACTCCAGCTTGTGTCTGCCAACAGGACAACATTGTGATCCCAACACAGTGAAGCTGAGAGATGAACAGCAGCAGGGTGACACAAACAGACCCACAGACACCACTGCTCCATCCTACACTAGGTGAAAGCACTGGGGGCAGAATGATGTGAGCAGGGGGTGAAGGAATCCTTCATCCCTCCCAACCCTGGCGCCAGCATTTCTGATCAGCTTCCAGCAAACCTTCTCACCAAAGCCACACAAAACTGGCTGCATTCTTTTCCCAGCAAACCTTACAAAGGGAGTTTTTGGTGCTGACACACCAAGGCAGGAGCCAAACCGAGCTGGGGAAAGGCCATGACATTTCCAGCTCCACTCCCTGACACGCAGCTGAGCTCACAACCACGGGGCTGGGGCTGGGCAGGAAGGGGACAGAGCAGCTCTGTGGTAAAGTGAAAGTGTAGGGGAGCAGCACATGTTGGGGCTGTAGGAGAGGAAGGATGTCAGTGTGTTGTTTTACACCTGCGGGTGGAACTACAAACAGAAGCAGGTGGCTCTGGGCACTGCAGCCTCTCTTGTGGTGACAAAGGGAAATTCTCTTTGTGGCTGGGATTGCTGTGACAGTGCTGAGTTTGGGTTTGGGTCCTGGGGATGTCACTTGCCATGCAGCCAGAGGGGATCTGGTCACCCCATCCCAGTCACAGCCCTCAAAGCCTCGCTCTGTTCTTCTAATTAACGAACCCATTTGCAAACCCATCACGAAGATGGTGCTGGTGGAGGGCTGGAGCGAGGTGTGCAGAGATGGATAGACGTGGGTGTGTGAGACGGACAGGCAGACAGACAGCAGGGAAGAGTGCGTGTGGATAGATGGACGCGAATCATTGAAGGGTGGAGGGGTCGGCTGGACTGAGACCAAACGCAGTCGAAAGTGTTTCGTGGGGGGGGAGGTGGGTGCCGGGGAGGGGTCCGGGCTTTGTGTGCCGACAGAGGAGGGTGCTGGCTCGGCTGCTCGCCGTGATGCTCCGGGGGCGGAGAGGAGGAGGAGGAGGGACTTGCAGCCCTTTTCTGGTGCTGCCGAGGCGGCGGGCGGCAGAGGGAGGGCAGCCCGGGGGATGCGAGGCGGCCCCGGCGCACCATGGCTGGGTTCGTACCGCTGCTGCTGCTCCTGCTGCCGGCGGTGAGTGCGGGGCTGCGGGCTGAGCCCGGGGGGGCCGAATCCAGAGGGGAGCGGGCAGGGAGGGCACGGGCTGCCCCGGTCCCGCTGGCACCGGGCGGGGCTGGGATGGAGGGGTACCAAGGGACTGTGGGGTTGTGCTTGTAGGGTCCCGGGGGTATCGGCAAGTGGGAGCGCCAACTGTATGGGGACGGAGGGTCCCAGAAGGTTTGGGTGCAGAGGGAGAGAGGCGGGGAGGTGGGTGGTGGTGGGGACACTGTAGGGATTTCTCGTGCGGCCCCTCGCGTCCTGCTGGCACTGAGCTGGGCTCTGCCGACCCTTTTCCCCACAGGAGGTTATGGGAAGAAAGCAGCCCCAACTCTGTGCCCCCACCTCCCGAACCCCACACCTTCAAAAAGTCTCACGGACCTTCCCTTCCTGGCTCCAAACTCACTGCCCAGCGTGGAGGGCAAAACCGGGATGGGTGCAGCCTCAGCCTGTGCCAGAGACAAAACTTAGGGATGAGGGGGACCAGAGAAGAAGGAGACACACAGAGCAGGGGATATGAGGATGGACTGAGCCACCTGGGGCAGAAATGGGGCTTTTGCTGCAGGAGGATCTGTGGGGTCCCAGAGGGCTCAGTGGGCAGCAGGACGCTCTGGGGCAGGGCGTTAAAGCTGCTGCTTCAGCAGGTTCAAATGGAGACTGAGGGAGAGAGCAGCATGGATGGCTCATAGCTCCAAGCTGGGTTTGGTGTCCCCCATATCCTGCAACCAACCCCTCAGGTCTGGGCTGCCCCTAGGATTGCACCTGCCGAGCCCTCCCGGTCCCATAGAGATCTGCGGTAGTTGAAAACCGCACTGCTCCTCTGAACCCTGAGCAGCACAGGTCAAATGTGCCCTCACAGCTGTGGCTGTACCCCCAGCACCCCATTTCCATGGCACATTCTCTGTGCTGCTCAGACTGAAGCTGAGCTGGGAGGGGGGGGAGACAGAGCCCTGCGGGATCCACACGGCTCAGACGTGGTTCTCCCACTGCCCAAAGTTTGGGAAGTGCAGGGATCCAGAGTTTTGGCCTTTTCTAGACAGGGTGCCCCGCCAAAACACACAGAACCCGTCTGTCAGCCTCGCGGGCCGTTCGGATCCAGGCTTGCCGCTGGGCCCTTCTCCAGCTGCAGCACTGCTGCCGTTCCCCGTTTCGGAGCAGCACAGATCTCCGTGCCAGGGTTTGGGAGATGATGGTGCTTCGCTGCGCACATCTTCCTTCAAGGCCACCCCCAGTAGGGCGGGGGAACGCCAAAACTACTCCAAAAGCAATTAAAAGCTTTCAAAGGTGTTGCTCGCACCCTCAGCGCGTCCCCCTTCCCACCCCCCCCCCAAGTCCAGCTGTCAAAATGCTTTATGGTGTTAATACCTGTGGCTTTGTCAACGGGAGTTGTGTTAATAACATGCACATTTCAGCGGGCTAATGCAGACCATGTGCCCCTCTCATAAGCGTGTTAATCTTTATGGATGTTTCAGCGCTCGAGATGCAGAAAGGGAAACGTAGGCGTGTGCGTGTGGGGGGGAGGTGCAGCATCTGGGGCTGGAAGGTGCGTTTTCCACATCATTTAGAAACGCGGAGGGTAGGACAGCCTTACGAGGAGGGGATCGTGGGGTGTTGGAGAGGTGGGGAGAGGTTGGGGAGGGGGGTCCGGTTTGGCACAGAGGAAGCAGCGCAGCCGGGTTCTGTCCCTGTGGGGTTGCTTTGCAGCTGCCTCAGGCGCGGGCGGCGTGGGAGAGCTGGCTGCTGCGGTCCCAGCTGCACCGCTGCGGCCTTTCCAACACTATTTATAGCCAAGTTCGGATGCTCACCGCTTCTCCAAACCTTCCCGAGCAGGGGGACACGCTGCAGGTGCTGGGGAAGAGGAAACGGGGGGTTGAGCTCCGGCTCCACTCTCTACCACGGGCATCGCTGCTGCCTGGAGCTGTTCCTGCGGCAGAGCGAGCCCTGTGCTCATTCCCAAGCCCGTTTCCCAACTGTTATTTGGGGGTGCTGGGATGGTCCCCCCGTGCCAAGCATCCTACCCGTGCAGCTGGGGCTCGGTGCCAAGCCGAGCTGGCAAAGCAGCGCTGAAAGAAGGCACGCTCTTCCAAGCGAAGGGTAATTGGAGCACTTTGTCATTCAGATGCCTATAATTGGCGCTCCATTGTCTCGGGCCGGGCCGGCTTATGCTGGCTGATGCGCCCATGAGTTCATAACACCGCATTGTGCAGAGCGGCGGCCAAAGGGCTGACGAGGAGTCCAGATGCACGGGGACTGGGAGCTCCTCCGCTGCCGGGAGAGTTTCTTTTCCCCCCTCTCCCCCCAAAATCAGCCTCATCTTGGTAGCAAAAGGACGGTCCCCCGAAAGGAGCGCATCCCCGGCAGCAGCCTCCCATCGAGCACCGAGCGCATAGAACTGACCATGGATGGTCACAGCAGATGCTGTTGCTGCTGTCCCTTCGGGTGGCCCCAGCTCTGAGCATTGCTCTGCCTCCTCACTGCCTCGTGTGTCCGACCCGCAGCCCAACGGCACCATCTGCTCTGACACCATCTGCCCCGTCCTCCTTCCATACAAACTCATCCCAGCTGCCGCACGAGGAAACTCCCGATCCTCCTGACTGTGAGCAGGAGGAGCAAAGCCAGCCCCACGCATCACCCCTGGCCAAGGAGTGCTCTGGGGAATGGCCATCTCTGCTCCCCACGTTACAAAGTGGATGTGCAGAGGATCTAACCGCACTGCTCATGGCACATTTATTGCTTCCATATGTGATGACAGGTTTTATAAGCTAGTACACTTACTCCTGTTAGACAGCTGAAGCTCTCTGCGCTCCTGTCAAAGTCTTCATTTCCACCGAGGGGGCTGATTTCTGATCCCAGTGCAGAAATGGGACCTCAGCCCTCTGAACCCTTCACTGGGGCTGGCAGCTTTTCCCAGGCAGGGGAGGGCTGTGACATCCATAGAGGAAACGACTTCTGTGATGGGGCGTAAGGCTGTAACCCTACAGAAAAACCAGCATCCCCCTAAGACCCACAAGCTCAGACCAAGAGCTGTTTTTGCCTCCTTCAATCAGCAGCACTTGGCAGAAGCTTTGCAAATGAGTGAGCTTGGCATAGGAAAGTCATTTACCTCCCCTTTCTCCCAAGTCCTATATCTAACACAGAGCCCCCCTTTAGCCCAGACATTGAGTGTCCACCCCACAGTACAACCCTTCCTGGATGCAACATCTCTCTCTGCCCATCGTTGCAATTCCTGTAACAAGAGTCACCTCCAGGCTGTTTTCTCTCCCAGGGACCCACTTGGGGCTCCAAGGAAAAGTGCTTGACCAAGATGTACACGACGAGTGGCGAGTGCTGCAAAGCCTGCAACCTGGGCGAGGGTGTTGTGCAGCCCTGTGGGGTCAACCAGACCGTCTGTGAGCCCTGCCTGGACAGTGAGTAGTGATACATGGGGCTTTTGGGGAATACAAGTGGGCATCTGGATGTCTGCCCTATGGACATCCATTGTGTGGATGCGCTTTGTGTCATTTGGTTCCATTTTCCCATGGCACAGATCCCCAGATCTCAGCATTGTTTCCAGCATTTCCCCAATGCCTGCCCAGCAAATGCCAGCAGCTCTCCCTGTTTGGGGGCCCATTGGTGCCAGGCATTATTGCAGATCCCCTTCCAGTTCCTCCATTGCATCGATGGCTCCTCGCTAACAATTGCCTCCCAAATTTTCCTCTCCCCACACTGCTTTCCAACCCAGCCATGGGGATATCTCAGGAGCCACCTGTACTATTGCTACTTTTACCTTGTAAAGGCTGCGAAATAAAAGCAAATCGGAGGGGAGAGAAGCAAATCACGAGTCCCCAGGAGAGGCGGGGAGCTTTCTGCTGGCTGACTCCAGGCACATTGCCTATGTCAAATGCTTCATAAATGTCGGTCGGAGCTTTGCGCAGGAGAGCTGGTTAAATACTTGCAGATGAAGTGGTCCAGCTATTACTGCTTAAACAATGCCATGATAGGCAGAAAACGATCTACCCTGCAAATTTACTGCTGCAAGCTCTTTGAAGACCTGGGGACGAATATTTGTAGGGTGATCTGTGCCAGCCAAGCTCTGATTTGAAAGGCAGAATTGGCAGAGCACCATCGTAGGGGAAGTAAAAAGAGTCAGAGAGCGGGGGGGGGGGGGGGAGAAGCCCTATAACCTGAGCAGCACCAGCATAGAGCAGTGTCAGAGCAGTGCTAAAAATACCTCTGCCTTTGTGCAAAATCAATGAGCAGCGCTTGCCCTCCGAGCTGCATCCCCCTGGCTGCAACCTTGGGGCAGGTTTACTTGCTGTTCCTGGCCCCAGCCCAGCTCCCAGGATGCAGGGCAGCAAATCCAGAGGGCATGGAAGGGTTGCATTGCACACCAGGGTTACTTAGAGCAGCATTTCCTATAACTCCCTGCAATTCCAGGCTAGGAGATGTCTTACTTCCCACCTCCTTTCTGGGAAGGGGGAGATGAAAGGGATTTCTACACTCCCTGGAGGATGCAGAGATTATGGGGAGAGCAGGACCTGGGTGAATCAGTTAAGTCATGGCTGTTGGTAGCTTTGTGGATGCTGCTGTGCTGGTTTGCATACCAGCTTGCTCTGCCCTGCCCCAGCAGTTGCATTCTTGCAGCAGGGTTAACCCCTGGCACCAGATCAGGGAGCTGAGCTGGAAAGCATTGGGCTCCTTCCTCCATCCCTGCAGTGATGACAGCAGCCAGGTGCAAACACTCTCAGCATCGCACTTTGTGCCTTGCTTGGTTTTGCTGCTCCCTGCACCTCCCATGCCTCTATTTCCCCTTTGAACCCTCCAAATGCCTCATAGCCCTTTCATCCCTTACCTGGGGGCCTCCAAAACACAGCACACAGCCTCCCCCCCCAGCTCACCCCACTGCACAGTGTCCTGACAGCACAGCATAAATCCCAGGACAGGACCAAGCCCCTACCACTCTGATGGGAAGCAGCACCAAAGAGATGACCTGGCTCCCCCATTGCACCAAGAGGGAAAAGCATACTTGTTGAAGAGCCACAGATGGGGATAATTCCACTGCAAACTCTTCTGCTTTATACCCTCAGCCCTGACCCAGTTGTGGTCATGCATTGCTAATGCCAGCAGGATTATCATCTTATCATCTAGGTGCTATGATGGGGAGATGCTGATGCTTATGCTGGGTGGGCACTGGGGTGCAGGTGATGCAGGAGGGTTCCCAGCTTTCTTCTGAGCTCAGGGTGAGATTTCTAGGAGCAGAGGAAGCTTGGAGACCCCATCACTGGGATGGGGACAGGATCTTTTGTGGAGCTGATCCCACCCTTCTCCTCCATGGGATCCCCCTAAGTGCTGTGTGTGCAGCTCCTTCCCACAAAGTGCCCCAATTACCAAGCAGAGCCAGCAGGGAGGAATTAGGGTGCAGCCCTTGGCCATGACATCCCCACCTCCACCCTGGGCTGCCTCCGAGGCTTTGCCTTGGCCTTCTTCCCAATTCACTGTCTTCTCAACTCACTGCTCAAACCATTTCACAAGAAATTTCCTACTATCAAAGCACTGCCCCTGCCAAAGCCTGGAGGCGATGTTCCCTCCATCAGACCAAACGGCCACTTGCTTTTTTTATAATTTCCCTTCTTCCTTCCCTCTACCCCTTGCCAGCCCCCCTCCGCCCCCTCCTGATTTCTGCCTCATGATTTATTTATCTCCTTCGCCAGCCTCCATTGCTGCAGGAGGGAGGGGGCCCTGTTTGAATCTCAGCTGTAATTGCTCAGCTCGGATACCTTGCTGCCACTGCAAATGTGCCCACTCAGCCGTATGCCTTTCCTGGCCACTTCCCTGCTCTAATGGTATCTATCAATAATTCAGAATAATGCAAGCCAAGAGCCCAGGTTAATGGGAGCAGTGCACGCTGACAGCTGACCCGGAGCAGCTCTGCCCCTGCACCCTTTGCCATTGCCTGTGTGTGCTGGTTTGGGCACACTTGCACACTTGGGGTGTAGCTCAGGTGTGAGGTGGTTGCTGTAAGAAGATGCTGTTCCCACTACAGAATGGCTTTGGGAAGCTGTTCTCAGCCCTATGCCATCTCAGTGTTGTGTCCCTGTCCTGCATTGCTTTGTCCTTTGGAGCCCTTCACCGGGGTCTGAGGGCTCTCCTTTCCCCTCTGTCCCAAAAGTGAGGCACCTGAGCAGCCCTGTGTGGATCCTCAGCCTCCTGTGGGACACCCAGGGAAGCTGGAGGCCACCAAAGGTGCTGGGAGACCACAGCAGAAAGTTTTGCTGGCACAGGGTGGGTGCACAGCCCCACTGTCACTTGGAGGAAATTGCCACCTCTCATCTAAAGGCAGATGTGTGAGTGGTTCCCCTTCCCAAGGAGCAGGGCTAGCAGACAGGTTGCACTTGATCCCCCAACACCTTCTCCATTGAGGAGGTGGGGGATTGGCATCGTGGGCTGTGGGGGAACTGCTGTGAATCGCATGGTGCAGGGAGAGCAGCTGTGCCCTCCAGGACAGGCACTAATCCCAGCTTCCTGTGTTAAAAATAAAATAAAAATAGCCCCAAGCACCTTGGGGATGGGGAGGGCAGCAGTGCGGGGGCAGCTTGGAGGGCTTCAGAAGGGGATTGATTTACATGGCCAAGTGAATCCTGCACGGTGAAACTGGAGAGCCCAGGGACCCAGGGTCAGAGGAGTCAGCAGTTAATGTTGTAACCTCCTGTTCTCATCACCTTTCATGTTCCCTGGCCTCCTGAGAGGCCAAGGAAGGAGCACAGGGCAGTGATACCCCAAGAGACCCCACCAGGAAGGATGAAGAGGAGAGAGCTTTTGTGATGCAATTGCTGTAGGGTACCAGCATGGCCATGGGGAATGTCTACAGATGGGGAATGGGGATGATGCTATAGGATGAGGACTTGTTGGAGAACACGGGCACTGAGCACATGGTCACAGCTGGTTGGGTGTGCTGAAGGCTGCAGGAGTTCAAGGGACCCGAGTTAGTGGCTCAGCATGGGGAATTGCTGCAAAAAGGAGGATGCTGTTCATGGGAAGGGAAAGGATTCTGCAGTGATGGCTGGGGCTGGAAGGGGCTAGGTGTTTTTTGGGGGGCTAGGCAGGGAAAAACACCCTATATCTCAGAGGAGGAGGAAAATGGTGAAGAGCTGTGGCTCCTGCACAAGCCCAGCTCCCCTGGGCTGGATGGGAGCTGAGGGCAACATTGAACCCAACGTTGGGTTTCAATGCAACCAGCAGGGATGGGGATGTCCCCAGGGTCTCTTTCCTCACCCCACCCTCTGTCCCCCTCCCCAGGTGTGACCTACTCGGACACAGTGAGCGCCACAGAACCGTGCAAGCCCTGCACGCAGTGCGTGGGGCTGCACAGCATGTCTGCACCCTGCGTGGAGTCGGACGACGCCGTGTGCCGCTGCGCCTACGGCTACTTCCAGGATGAGCTGAGCGGGAGCTGCAAAGAGTGCAGCATCTGTGAGGTGGGCTTTGGCCTCATGTTCCCCTGCCGGGATTCACAGGACACCGTCTGTGAGGAGTGCCCCGAGGGCACCTTCTCTGATGAGGCCAATTTTGTGGATCCCTGCTTGCCCTGCACCATCTGTGAGGAGAACGAGGTGATGGTGAAGGAGTGCACGGCCACCTCGGATGCTGAGTGCAGAGGTAATGCTGCCTTTTCCATCTTGGAGGAGAGAGCAGGGCTCTTTGTGTCTCATGGTGCCAGCACAAGCAGGTGTAGTGATCTGTGCCAGTTTCTCCTTTGCAACGGGGAGGTGGGTGCAGATCCCCAAGGGTGGTGGAAAAGAGAGGACCTCATGTCCAGCTGAGGTCCCCTTGGGCATTTCATTATGCAGCTTCCTAATGAGCTCAGCCAAGAGGTTCAGCAGCTCTGATGCTGCTTTTGCAGCCGCCAGAGCCTTCATCAAAAGGGAATTTGACAGCTCGTGGCTTTCTCATGGGAATTAACTGCTGCTGCCTTCCAAAAGAGCTGGGGAACAGCAGGAGAGTTCACATCATTCAGTACAGCAGCCCCTCTGCTCCACTCTGTGCAGCCCCCAGACTCTGGTGGGGGCTGTCTGGGGGTTTTCAGGGGGGGAGGACTGGCGCTGGGTTCTTCCTTGACTGTTCCTTGGCAGCAGCAGTGCAGTTCCCTGCCCTGAGTGCAGTGACAGAGAAAGGGGCTTTGTCCCATCCGCTACTGATTCACAGCATGAGGCGGCGGCCAGCGCAGCTCCCTTTGGCTGATCCCTTGGTGGGGTCGAGTAAATGGAGCCATAAGTCAAGGAGCACAGGGTGAGCTTTGTTAGCTGCCAGCGGGGCCCCGCCGGATGCAGCCATGCCGCCACTGGAGCGATGCTCTGAAAGGGCAGAGGGGTCTGGCTTGGGGGGTGGCACTGGGAGATGCCACGGCTTCCTTCCCACCCCGAGCCCCCAGCAGACAGAGCACAGTGTGACCCATGTGCTGAGGTGGAGCTGGAGGGTTCAGAGTGCAAGAGCAGAGGCTGCAAGAACCAAATTGGGTGTTGCACCGGATTGGGTGTTGCATCAGGACTGTATATTTGTCTCTGTGCAGGAATGGGCTCTGCTGAGAGCAGGAATTGGGCTGGAGGTGGTGGTTGGGGCATGGTGGAGGCAAGGAAATGGCTCAGCCCCAAGGAGGCAGAGCAGGGACATGGCCCTGCAGCACTCACAGTGGGCACAGGGGAAGCCCCTGGAGGGGGGCGTGGGCAGGGCTGAGGGAGGCAGGCATTGAAGGGGCTGTTTGGGCAGCCACGGGTGAACACATCATGGTGCAAGACAAGATATATCTGCTTCATGAGGCATCTGTGTGCGGGTGTATGGGTGTGAACAGGGTCACTCCTACATTGGAGCTGGGCTGGCAGTGCAACCTAGCAGGCAGGGGACAAGGGAAGGGGATGAGTGAGGTCCTCCCCTCCCAGGGCTTGAACTGTGGCTCTGGTGCTGCTGGCAGCAGATGAATGCAGGCAGACGTGGCTCCTTATGAGCTGCAGAGGCAGCTGCTCTGCCTTCATGTGGGGTGGATGGGAAGCAGCTGGGGATGCATCTCAGGGACCACATCCAACATCAGCTCTCTGGGACAGAGACAGGAGCCCAAGGCTCACCAGCAGGCTTGCGTAGCTGGGAGAAGAGCTGCTTTTCTCTCCTGATACAAATCCTCAGAGGGGATAAATGCTGCTTGTGCTGGGCTGGATATCCATAAGCAACAGGATACAATGATTTTCCTCTACTGGAAGGACTTGAGAAAAACCAGTGCAAGGAAAGAAAAGCCTTCAAAGCTATGTCCCAGCACCACAGCCACCATCAGGTACCATTTGGAGCTGGGAACAGCTTCAGTTCTTCCTGGGGTCTTGGGGATGAGGTGGTTGCAAGAATAAGCATGGAAACAAGGGGCTGTGTCAGAGCTGCTGGAGGACATCACCAGGTACATGGCTGACTCTTGTCATTGCTTTTCTCTTCTGACAGACCTCCACCCACGCTGGACAACACACACCCCATCCCTGGCAGGTTCTGACAGCCCCGAGCCAATCACCAGGGACCCCTTCAACACCGAGGGGATGGCCACCACCCTGGCAGACATTGTCACCACCGTCATGGGCAGCTCGCAGCCTGTTGTGAGCCGTGGCACTGCTGATAACCTCATCCCCGTGTACTGCTCCATCCTGGCAGCTGTGGTGGTGGGGCTGGTGGCTTACATCGCCTTCAAAAGGTAAAGGGCTGGGGCAGCACTGTGGGGATGTGGGTAGTGGGGAGCAGGCTGTGCCCCCTGCTTTGAGGTGCTGTGTTTGGAGCGCTCACCAAGAGTGCTGCAAAATGAGGGAGGGCAGGAGCTGAAATGCCAAAAAATGCAGCTGATGGGGTGAAAGGGAAGATTGCAGCAGGATAGGGGTGCAAGCCGTGCCCTCCCGCACCCTTATCACAAACACCCCCTGCTCAGCCCCCCCTGCTTGGGCACATCGTATCCGATCACACTCAGCAGCTCATCCCAGGGTGTGCACCTGGCCCTGCAGGTCAGGACTGGCTTGGCTGCTTTCTGTGCATCTCTGGGGGCACCACGAGGTGGGTCAGTGCCCCCTCACATCCCTTTTCCACCGGGACCTCATCCCAGAGCTCATGCATCTGCTCAGCTCCATGTGTGCTGCCCAAATGTGAGCATCCATCCAAATGCCTGCCACTATCCTGGACTCAGTGGTGGCTCTGCTCCAGCCCCAGAGAGCACAAATCATCACGTTCACAGACCACGAGAAGGCAGCAGTATGGGTGTTAAGGCACGGGTGTGAACATGAGAAGGCAGCAGCCACAGCTTACCCTTCACGTGGGTGCAACGATGCACGTGGGGACCTGCATGCAGCCCTATGTGCCCCAGGGGCACAGACACACGTGTGTGGGTCCATGCAGAAAGGGGCTTGGTCCTGGTCCATCACAAAGCTCAGGAGCTGGGCACCTGCAAAAGCAGAGCAGATTTAACCTGATGCATCTGCTGCAGAGATTGAGCCAAAAGTTGCATGAAAACTGCACATCTCCTTGGGAAAATGCTCCCAAGCAGGGCACAAAGCAATGGACCCACTCCCAAAAGGAAAGGTGCAAGCAAAGGGATGCTGATCAGGGGGACTGTGACAGTGCCACCACCACTCTCTGCAGGTGGAACAGCTGCAAGCAGAACAAGCAGGGAGCCAACAACCGCCCTGTGAACCAGACGCCTTCCCCAGAGGGGGAGAAGCTGCACAGCGACAGCGGGATCTCAGTGGACAGCCAGAGCTTGCACGACCAGCAGCCGCCCAACCAGAGCACGCAGGGACCAGGTAGGGTGATGGGGGCTGCGGGGTGGGAAGGGGTGCGCGCAGCATCGCAGCTCCTTAACGCATTCCCCCATTGCTTGCCCTTCCCAGCACCAAAGGGAGACGGGAACCTGTATGCCAGCCTGCCGCCCAGCAAGCAGGAGGAAGTGGAGAAACTGCTGAGCAGCTCGGCGGAGGAGACGTGGCGGCAGCTGGCCGGGGAGCTGGGCTACAAGGAGGACCTCATAGACTGCTTCACGCGGGAGGAATCGCCCGCCCGAGCGCTGCTGGCCGACTGGTCGGCCAAGGAAACGGCCACTCTCGATGCCCTCCTGGTGGCCCTCCGGAAGATCCAACGTGGGGACATCGCTGAGAGCTTGTACAGCGAGTCCACCGCCACCTCACCTGTGTGAAGGGTGGCCTGGGGGGGGGAGGTGCAGCCGGGGGTCCCCTGCCCTGCTGCCTCATTGCCTCCCCCCTCCCTGGCACCGAGAGCCCTGGAGAGGAAGATGGGGAGGAAGAGGGGACCCCCCACCCCTCCTCGCTTTATGGCCCTGTATGCACTGAGCTCCTGTTTTCGGTATCGCCCCCTCCCACCGCCACCCCCTCCTGGCAGCCCATAACCTGGGCTCAGGGTCCTGCTCCGTGCCTGCCCCTGAAGCAGCCTTGAGGGCAGGAGCGAGCACCACTCTCAGGTCTCTCCTCTCTCTATTTCTAGCGCCTTCTCCTGGTTCCAGGTCCCCTCCTACTCTTTTTTTCCATTGTCTTCATCACTGTTGTCTTCTGCTCCCATCTGATACCCCCAAATTCAGCTGCTTTCCCCAAGCTGCAAGCAAAGGGCAGGGCTGGAGTGGGCACGGAGAGCAGCAGAGCAGTTGCAGCAGGATTTGGGGATGGGGCTGTGCCCTGGGGATGGGCTGGGGGAAAGGACTCTGTTTCCAGCAGCCTCACCTACACTTAGGGTGTAACTTGGGGTGAGCCCATGCTCAGGGCTGGCAGTGTTTGGTCTTGATGGGGGGCAGACACCAAACACTGGGGGCAGCCCTAAGGAGAGCTCCAGGAGGGGAACACCAAAGGTCTAAAGGGCTGAAAAAGTGCCTGCAACAGGGATGTGGCAAAAGAGCTTTGCTCGTCCTCCCCTTACCACAAACCAGGTGTCCTCTCACTGCACTGGCCCAGGATCAAAGTCACCCAGGCGCCCCGTGCCAGCTCTCCTTGACCCCCAGCTCATAGCTTTGGGGTCCCAGCTCCAGCTCCTGTCCCAGCAGTGATGCTGGAGGAGCAGCTGCCAGGTGAACACCATGAGCTTTCCCCTTTGAGCTGCCATGGTCCTGGAGGACATCCCCATACTCCTGGAGGATGTCCTACTCAATGGGGCAGGTTCACCACCTCCCTCTCCCGGAGGCTGTTGGCAAAGCAAGGACTGCAAGTCGAGTTCACGCATGGATCTGCATTCATCCCAGCCTCCCCACTCACCTCGTGCTTCATTCAGAAGCTTTACCAAGTGCAGAAGGTGATTTTCTTTCCCTCTTTACGGAGCTAAGCAAGACTTGTAAATAATACTGTGTTGTTTTACTAATGCTCAATGTTTTTACGTCTGGCGTGGATGACCTCTGCTGCAGCGCACCGCAGGCTGCTCGCTCACAGCATCGTGCCTGCAAGCTGAGCTTTCCCTTTTGCAGCCATGTCCTCGTTCCCACCTTGTCTTAAAGACTGGCCTTAAAGACTCAATGGAGAATGCAAGGAAATGCACACATGCACGCTCCAGAAATGATCGCGAAACTCAAAAGAATTGAAGGATTCGGCCATTCCAGGTTGTTGCAGGGAGAGCTTTGTTCTTTGCAGGCTGTTTCTCTTTGACTATCAGGAAGCACTTCAGGTTGCCCAAATGGGTTGTGGAGTCTCCTTGCTGGAGATCTCCAAAGCCCACCTGGATGTGGTCATGGGCACCATCCCTTGGGGGGCACCAGGTGGACGCAGAGGTGCCTCCAGCCTCAGTCAGGCTGGGATTCTCAAAGCTAATCTCAATGGGAACTGAGCACTTAATTCCTTTAAAAGCCTTTGGAATGTTGCTGCCTGTGTTTCAGAAAATGATAGAGCACAGGCTGCATTTGGATCACGTTGGGATGTTCAGCGCCTCATGCAAAGCATCTGTGCAGCAAGAACAGAGACCCCTTCATGAGAACAACTGTGCCATACCTTGACCACTGGCTCCACACACTGAACTTGTTGGATGGGAAGATTCAGTCCTAACAGGGCTACGTTTTCCATCTCTGCATCCTGAATCTCTCCCACCACTGAAGTCCAAGGGAACTGCCCCAGATGCAAGCCCCTGGCTGGGGCACTGATTCCTCCAGACCAAGCCATTCTCATGGATGCTTTGGGACAAGTGTAAATGCTGGTTGTTGCATTGTTGGTTTCATCAGTCCCTTTTTTTTTTTTTGGAAGAAGTGACTCAAACCAAGCACTGGGTACCGCCAACTCTGGATCCAAAACTGCCTGCTTCAGTCTGGCCAAGCCCACGTGTGCAGTGCCAGACATAAATTGCTTTTCTTCAGGACAATATTGCTACGGTCTCAGGTTTCTATTGCCATAGCAAAGGGTGGTTTCCTCACCCTTCAACCAACCTCACGGCTGAGAAAACAGAGACAAACTCAGCATCCAAAGAGAAGCCACGGGATGCCTCGAATCCCACGTTGCAGGAAAAAAATAATAATATTAACAATAAAAACTACAAAAAAAAAAGGGGAAAAACAAGCCAAAGTTAGTGCTCGTCGGTACGTTTTGTGTCCTTTTCTAATGTTTCTGTTGTACAAAGAACGTGAGTTTCTCCACTTGTTCCCCCGATCCCTTCTGTAATACCAATGCCAGTTTATTAGAGAGTCTTACGGTGAAGAAATTGCCGTCGTAGAAGGAGTTTGTGGGTGTGCTGGGAGGGCTGAGCAGCATGAGGTGGGAGGGCATCTGCACGGGGGTCAGCTCGGCGGTTCTATCATTGTGTATCAGTTGGGTGCCAATAAAGAGCATCACAACGTTGGCGTGCCTCTTGGTTTTCCCCAAGCAAGAATCAAGGACTCATTTAGGTTGACTAAGAGCATCCAGTCCAATCATCATCAGCCCATTCTGCATCCTGAGCTGTCAGCAACGCACGCAGGGTCAACCTCCAGGTCCTACACAAAACTCCAGATCAAGGCATGTTTATTGGGATAGGGGCAAATTTTTGTGTTGAGTCCAGGAAGAGGCTGGAAGGCTTCGTTCCCAAGTAGGGATTTTTGATTCTGAATACACACATGGCTTTGGGCAAGCAAATTTTGGGAGAAAACATCCCTATCTGATGGAGGATCAGGCTTTGGATGAGCTCCAGCACTCTTGGTGACAGGTCAACATCCCCCCTCTTAAAAAGTCTTACAGCAAAGAGCTGATGCTGTGTCCCCAGTAATGGGCAAGCAGGGAGATATAAGGGCAGTGGGGACTGCATGGGGCTGCTGCCCCATTACTTTGCATAGGGTTGCGTGTGGGTTTGCACAGAAGTATTTACACATTGCAGTTTATGAGAGCTTGAAATAGGATGCTCCAATGTAACTGGTTTTATTTTCGGCTGGCAGGAAATGTAATGAGGACCAGAACTATAGACACATAAAAGATCGTTCCCTTCCCTTCCCTTTTTTTTTTTTTTTTTTTTCCAGGCTCCCACATGGTACTGCAAATAAACAAGGGGAAATAATTGCAATCAATCCATTAGGTTTAATCTGCTTCCTCTTAATCTCCATCCTCCCCTGGGAAAAAAGCTGGAGCAGAGAAGAGGAGCAGAGCCAGGCTGAAAGCAGAGCTGGAAGGTGTCTGCCTGCAGCACCCAGAAAAAGTTGGACCTGCAGACAGAATTGTTGTGTATGTGTGTGTGTGTGCATGGTGGGGGGGTGGTCCATGTGCATCCTTCACTCCCACACTGTCCCCATATCCATGGCTGAAGCAGTACTTCAGAGAAGGAGCTTTGCTAGGTGGTCTTCATGTGCAGGGTCAGCTGCAGTAGATGGTCCTTGGGGAGAGCAATCTGATTTATGATTCAGGAGGGGAAAAAAAAAAAAAAAGAAAAAGGAATAATGAGATCTGGAAAGGAGTCTGATGTTTGCATGGGCTGCTGAGCAAGGCTTTGGGAAGGGTGCTGGGAAGTTTCCTTCCCCTCATTTATGGGTATCTGGAGAGGGAGAGGTCAACCCCAGGCTTAACCTCACCTCTGCTGCAGTGAGCTCAGTAGGGGACAAATGAGGGCAGCTGTCAGCACTGGGACAGAGGGACAGGACTGGACCCAAACTTCCTCTCCAGTCACATGCCGTCTCTTGGCTGAGCCACCTCATCCCTGGCAAAGGGTCTCAGATAAGCCCTGAACCCCCACAAGCCATGGCATGGGGCCATCACCCCTTTCAGTCCCCATGTCCTAGCAGATGCCTCCAGCCCATCCCATCCCTGGGGAAGGCACTGCCTCCTGGGCACAGCCCTGTCCTCAAACCTCACCAGTCACTGAGAAAAAGAGAAATAAAACTAACCCCCCCCTCCACAACGTGCTCCACAATATGCTTTCACCCTGTGCATGAGCAGGGAGCTGCACCCCTCATTCTGCGTAGGAACAACGATGAGAATGGAGCTTCCAGAATTGCAGCAGGGCTTTACACGTGAAACAACAGTTCACAGCACCCAGCTGCAGCTGAGGAGCGCTAATCTCACCTCCATTTCTTCCCCAAGCATCTGTCTGCCTCCACAAAGGAGACAAGCAAGCATTCCTGCAGGTCACCCCAAGGCTATGATGGGGACAGCAGGTGCATGGCAGGGCAGGGGGGATTTGGGGAACTCAGGTCCTGACCTCACCAGGGCACCACGAGCTGCCAGCAGTGCCTGCAGCAGCAGAGCTGAGCTCCTCCCTCCCACCCTCAGGCAAAAATCTGCCCACCATATGGGCTGCATTCCCCTGTAATGGAAAACAGGCATTGCATCACAAGGGGCTGTGCTGTCCCATCAGCCAGGCTCAGGGAAATGTGCATGGCCTGAGCCTCTGTGATTCTTGATGCTGCTGCACGTTCTTCAAGCTCCAGCAGAAAGCAGTGCTGGGATTGAGATGGGATAAACCTGGCCCTAAAGGGCAGAAGCAATGCGCCCAGTGCCTTCCAAGGCAGAACAGAAAGGTGAGAAAGGTGACTCAGGGTGTCCCCACATGGACAGGGGACACAGGGTGGCAGGGTGCAGATATCCTGGCACGAGGAGTTGTGAGATGAGGACGTCTGGGTGGGGACAGAGCCAACACCACCCCCTGCAGCCACAAAGCCACCCCAATGTCATGCAGCCAACAGACAGCCCTCCCTCGCTCATCTGGGAAGGATGGACAGCGCTGCCATGACAAACAAAGACAGAAGATACCTCCAAGGTACCCAGCATGACCCTCCTCACCTCCTTAGATATAGGGAAAACCTCCTCATCATGCACAGGGCAACAAAGAGAAAGGGGAGATCTGCTCTGCCCCTCCTCATACCTAAATATCCCCCAGGTGATCCTGCTGGGCCACAGCTGGAAACAAAGCATAGGGATGGGAAGAGAGGTCTGGGTTTTAATGGAAGTGGCCCTGCAAGCTGGGTGAGGGAAACAGCCTCAGGTGGGTGCATTCAGGTAGAGAATTAATAGTGGAGGCAGTGTGAGAGTTGATACCTCAGCAAGACAATGGTCTTCTCCATGTACGTGCAGCTCCTATTGATGCTATTGAATCATCTCTGTAAGTGCATGAGGGGTTTGAAACATTGCCCCAAAACATGCTGAGAAAACCCAGATCCAGGAATGTGAGAGTAAGGATGCAAAGGAGGCACCCAGCAAACCCCATAGCAACCCTCAGCAAAGGGAGCCTGGGGATAAACGGGGGACATCTCCCTGGTTTCCCTCAAAGCATTGCTGTGAAATGCAGTTTGCTGCTGCACCACTGATGCAAGATGCAGTGACCATTTGCAGATGCTGCCAAGGAGCCACCGGGGCAAACCACAGCGCTCTGCTTTGCACGAGGACAGCGGACTACCAGCAGTGCCCTGCTATGGAGAGGCTGCCCTATGGCCAAGCAACGGCACTGCAGCACCGAGAGGGTCTGTAAGAAACCTGCCAGCAGCTCATTTTCCTGCTCTTTTAATTATTTCCTTTATTTTAGTATGAAAGGGGAAAGAGGAGTGTGTGTGTGGGGGGGGGTGAATGATTTACGGAGACCGGGAGAAAGTGGCCGTGCTGGTTTCCTTCCAAACACAGCTGAAGACAAAATCACCATGAGCAGGAAAAAGCCTCCCCAGGACCTGGCAGGGCTGACTTTCTCCTGTTTCAAAGGCAGCGTGGGACAGATGAGGGAGATTTTAATTCCCAGGCAAATGGAAGTCCGGCTCCGCGCCCACCGCGGGATGGGACTGCTCCAAAGAGATGGGAAAAGCCCTCTGCTCAGGGGCAAAATGCAGCTGAGACCCAGGCCTGGGCTGCAAGGTGGCTAACGGGGCTCTCATTTCCTTGAAAGGTGGAAAAAGCAGCACAGTGCATTCGCTGCAGCCCTGGGCTGACTCATTTTCCCCATCTGAGAGACAAAGAGGACGTAAATCCTGCCCAGATACGAGCTCCCAGGTTCGTTTATTACTGTCTCATTTTAGAATAAATATTTCATCCGTTTTTATCTCCAGCTGCTGCGTGTTGGAAACGTCTTCTTTTTGTAGTCAAGAGGGAAAAAATATGTATATATATAAATAAAGGAAGAACAACCAAGAATGAAATTTTCATTAGATGCAAAACGAGACTTTCCCGTGCTGCCGAGCGCAGCCCCCGCTCCCAGCTGACGGCCGCTGGAGTTTTGCTGCACAAAACCACCGGATTAAGTTCTCAGGAATAAGGAGTTCTGGTTTTGTGAGCGGGGCGGGCGCCAGGAGGGTCGTGGGAAGGCAGTGGGGATGGCAGCCCCCTCCTCACCCTGGGCACATCCCTGCCACCCTCAGCGCTCAGGGCTGGGGCAGTCTGTCTTTAAGCTCAAATCCATCCCACACAAATTTGTTTTTCCCCTGCGCGGCTCCGAAGCTGGAAGGGTTTTGTTCCATCTCTAATTGCTGCAGACCTGCTTTGCAGCCTGGAATAATCAGGGTTTTTCTGCAGAGATGCTTCAGTTCAGAGCTGGAAAGCACCCAAAGGATCGCTCACAAGGCTGCAAGGTCGAAGCCTGGAGGTGGAGAACAGTTGCAGATCCACACGTGGATCTCAGCACCATTCAGGTTTTCCCAAACATCCCATGGGAAGCAGCACCCAGCAGTGAGGTGAACCTGCCCATGCCTTGCAGCACCGAGTGATGGCTTCTAAGCTGAAATACAATGCAGGACAGCAGCCTGGGCTGGGGATGTGTTAATTATTATGGGTGCAATGAGGGAAATTAGTGAGGGGGGGATGAGAGTCACGCAGTACTGGCATTGGAGCTGGTGGGAGCACAGTAATGGGACTGCAGCACCCATAGATCCTCACCCACCCAGCCATGAACCTCACCCATTCCTGCTCCCATCTCTGAGTCTGATGGGTGCCCTGGACCCACACTGCACAGGGACATGGGGGCATCCATGCCTGCTCCCATCCATGAGTCTGATGGGTGTCACAGCTCCACACCACGCATGGGGATGATGGGCAAAAAGCACGGTCCTGTTGGAGGTGGATCACAGCCACACGGGTCTGAGGAGGGGGGAGGAAAATACCCCCTATGGCAGAGCTGCCTGCACAGCCCCAGGAAAGCACCGCCAAACAAACAATTTCCTCCCAAAGAACCTCAATTTTACACTCGGAGTGAAAGGATTGAGACATTTCATGATTGAGCCCAGGCTAAGAGTTCCTGGGAATTGCCTGCGCAACCATATGGATTTGTTCCATGGCTTAAAAAACACAAACACAAAACCCCAAAGACACCACCCCCCACCCAACCCAGCCCCAGCTTCCCACCCCCTTCCTTCCTCCCCTCTGCTCAGAACACGCCAGGGCTGCTGGTTTCAATTAGCTCC